AGTTCAAAGGCGAACGCAAACAGTTCTCCGCCGAAGAGATCTCGTCGATGGTGTTGACGAAGATGAAGGAGACGGCGGAGGCATACCTCGGCCGCCCTGTGACCGACGCCGTGGTCACTGTTCCCGCTTATTTCAACGATAGCCAACGCCAGGCCACGAAAGACGCCGGCGCTATAGCCGGACTCAATGTGTTGAGGATTATCAACGAACCGACCGCAGCGGCCATCGCCTACGGACTCGACAAGAAGACGGGCGGCGCGAGGGGTGAGCAGAATGTGTTGATCTTCGACTTGGGCGGCGGCACGTTTGACGTGTCGGTGCTCACCATCGAGGGCGGCCTCTTTGAGGTGAAGTCGACCGCAGGGGACACACACTTAGGCGGTGAGGACTTCGACAATCGAATGGTCGCTCACTTCGAGAAAGAGTTTCAGCGCAAACACAAAAAGGATTTGTCGGCGAATAAGCGGGCGGTTCGACGACTGCTGACGGCCTGCGAGCGGGCGAAGCGAACCCTCTCAGCATCGAGTCAGGCGTCCATTGAAATAGACTCACTCTTCGAGGGCATCGACTTCTACTCGACGATCACGAGAGCCCGCTTCGAGGAGTTGTGCGCCGACCTCTTCCGGCAGACCCTCGAACCGGTCGAGAAGGCCCTCCGCGACGCCAAAATCGACAAATCGGGCGTCGATGAGGTGGTGCTCGTGGGCGGCTCCACACGTATTCCCAAAATCCAGAAACTCCTTCAGGACTTCTTCGGCGGCAAAGAGCTCAACAAATCCATTAATCCGGACGAAGCCGTGGCCTACGGGGCGGCCGTTCAGGCGGCGATCCTCACCGGCGACACCAGCTCTGCCGTTAAGGACATACTGTTGCTCGACGTGACGCCCCTATCGTTGGGCATCGAGACGGCCGGCGGTGTCATGACTAACCTGATCGCCCGCAACACGACTGTCCCCACACGACAGACCCAGATATTCAGTACGTACGCCGACAACCAACCGGGTGTTCTCATACAAGTGTTCGAAGGGGAACGGGCGATGACTCGCGACAACAACCTGTTAGGTAAGTTCGACCTGACAGGCATACCGCCGGCGCCCAGAGGCGTACCCCAGATTGAGGTGACGTTCGACGTCGACGCCAACGGCATACTCAACGTGTCGGCCGCTGACAAGAGCACTGGTAAACAGAACAAGATCACCATAACCAACGACAAGGGAAGGCTATCGAAGGCAGAGATCGAGCGTATGGTACGGGAGGCCGACCAGTATAAAGAGGACGACGAGAGACAGAGGGATCGCATTCAGGCGAAGAACGCGTTGGAGGCGTACGCGTATGGCGTGAAGTCGGCCGCTGAGGACACAGCGCTCAAGGGAAAGGTGTCCGATGCGGACCGACAGAAGATTTTGGTGGCAGTGGGAGAGGCGCTCAAGTGGTTGGACTGCAATCAGATGGCGGAGAAGGAGGAGTTCGAGTACAAGCAGAAGGAGTTGGAGGCCATCTGTAAACCCATTATCTCGAAGATCTATGAGAGCGCCGGCGGACCCGCAGGTAGACAGGGGTCGACCGGTGGCGATGGAAAGGGACCCACCATTGAAGAGGTCGACTAAATCGTTGCGATTAAAGACTTCATTAATTTTGCAGTCATTTTGTGTTTTTTGGATAATATTTTGTTAATTTCTTATAACATGTAATATATTGATTTAATTTATTTTTTGTAAGTCTTATTTTAACATTAATTTGATGTAATGCAATTACTGTACTAATTAGAGTTAAATAAAAGCCATTATTAGTTTAATGAAATTTAAACTTTATTGATCAGTTAGAAATTAATTTATCAAAAGGTGTCAATACTATCGGCTTAATCACAAATACCGATATAACAAAAAGGTTTTCGTATCAAAACTTTTTGTAATAAAAAGCTTTAGAGATTCTTAAAATTTATTTATTTAATTCAATTATATAAAACAACAATTTATGAACACATAAATGTATTTAATAACATATTTATTTATTTTTGAATCCAAATGTACAGTATAATAGATTTACTAATTTGTTGTTCATTTTAATTATACTACAATTACTAATTTCTATTCGCAATACAAATGGGACTAACATTTAATGATAATATGATATTTAAAGAGTACTATAGAAAAAACAAAAATAAATTCAACACTTTATTCATGTGTTGATAAAAAAGTGGTATAAAAACAGATAATTAAATGAAACAAAGCTATGATTACTCCTCATCTGAACTGTCGGCGCATCTGGTGATGACGGGTCGGGTGCGGATCCAAGACGGCACACGACAGCTCCTACCCTTACCATTGGGTGCACCGCTTTGCCAACACTTCTTCGGATCCATTCCTGCGTTTAAGACACCTCTCGACTCACTGCCAATCGATCTATTCATACCCTTTCCAGCTTTAGCTACCGGTGCCTTCGTATCAAAAGTGATTCTTATATTCGGGCCTTTCCTACAATCGACACTTCGAGGGCCAGCCCTCAACCTCTTAGTAATCCGCGGTTTCGGTGCAAAGATCTCCTGCCGACGTCTGGCGCTCTCTTCTTCACGTATCACATGATCAATGACTCTATGGCTTAAGCTTATGGTAGACTTCGGCGGCTCCTCCACAGGCTTTTGTTTATCCATTGGCTTATCACTGGAGTTGACCACCACTTCATGGGGCTGTTGGCCCTCCGATTGTTGGCGTTGTCTCAGTAGATCCAATTTGGGCCTCAATTTGGCCCACATTTTCAAGATAGAAATGAATACTTTTTTTTGTCTGAAAAGCTTTTAAAACTATATATTTTTCATGTAAACGTTTATCAATTATAATGTATATATTTAGTCTAATATACAGTATTTCAATTGCTTGTGCAGTGGGTTCACATTATTGGTCTTTCTCACTCTCTCCCATACCCTCCCCTCCCTGTGTGTTTAAACTCACATTTGCCTTATAGTGTAATATTACCCGGTAGTGTATATTCGCACCAATATTTGAAATTTGGCTTCGCAAAAATAGTTGCCATTTTGTATTTCTCAGGAAATACATTGAATCATAAATTATTATTTATATTTTAAATTATTTTCAATACAAATTAAATCAAAAAATTCTGGAGCTCTTTTTGCAAAGTTTAATTACACGGTTACCATGATGAATTTACACGAGGTATAGTATATTTTTAAAAACCGGCATGTTGGAGCTATAAAACCTTGAAGAGTGATTAAGGAATGGATAATCCGTTCAAGAAATAATCCATTTCCCCCAGGGTCAATACTTACTGCGAGGGGTGTATATTGTAACCTATTGTGTTTTGGATTATATTTGTTTACATTTAAATTAAATTGTGTTTAAATACAAAAATGAATGCCATTAATTTACAGCAAATAATTACTATTATTTCTAATGTTGTAAATGGACATGAAGTTCATGTACAGTATCTACAACCAAGAGTCTGATGAAGTGAAAGCGGGGGACTGATAACGAAGCACTATTTCTTATACGGATTATAATGATAAGCATCGGAACGCAAAAATACAGTCATGTGCTGATAGTGTGA